CTGTTGCTCATTCCCAGCTTCTAGCAATCAGAGGGTAGGGATACCACCTTTCTGAGGGGGGTTTCAATTCTGATAGGCAGCTCCTTCATGTCTCTCATGACATGTATGTACAGCATCGAGCACAACAGGGCACTGGTCTTGGGCGGGACCTGGAGGTGTGGCTGTAAGACAAATAATCATGTTCTTAAATGAAATGTGACACGTATTCGTGGGTGGCAGGTATCACAGGCCAGGGGATGCAAAGACTCCCCAAACAGCCAGCCGTGGCCCTGCCCATGCTCTGCCCCATGGCCCCCTCCTGGGTTCCCTGCTCTCCCCACATGGAGCCAGCCAGCCAGCAGGCTGGGACTCAGGACAGCTGGGGCAGGGCTCCTCTGGCCACGGTGGAGGGTCTGGGGCCCTGGCGGGGAAGGGTGGTGGAAGGGGTGGGGCCTCAGGCAGAAGGGGCAGGGCTGGGGCTAGCCTCCCGGAACAAGTGGTTCACGTGCCACCCATGCCCGTATTTCGTAGGCCGTAAAGGAACGGGGAACAAATTGTGGCATGAGGATCAGGCCTAATAAAGTGTACACGCACACACCATCTTAGGACACACACACAGGCACCAGCTCAGGTGGGAAAAGCACACCTCAGAGAGGCTTCCTTGACAGCCTCTGAACCTATTCAAGGCCATTTCTACTCATAATTCCAGACTAAGGACACGGGGAGTTTGAGAAACTAAAATTCTACTTTATAATTTCAAAGCAAGAAATAAAAAGCCCCCACCCCACTGCCCCTCCACCCAACGCCCAGCTCAGCATGGTGCATTTCAGCCCCAGCCCAGTGCCACTTCCAGCTCCTGCAGGCCTCAGCAACGGAGCCAACATTTTACAGTGGGCAGAAAAGTGCAGCGGCTCCGGGAGAGACGCTGGGATCTAGTCACAAATGCTCCGAGAACAGGAAATCCAGGGAATGTGGTTTCACGGGAGCCAAAGAACGGGGTAAACTGACAGCAGTGTCGGCATCTCCAGTCCCAGCCGAGGCTTTTATCTCCCTGGGGATGCACCTGGTGGGTGGGGCAGAGACAGTCTCCCCCCTAGACGGGAAGGGGTGACCAGGTGGGCTGTCAGGTTGCTTGTCTCTCTCTGGCCTCAGAGATGGAGGCAGACCTGTCTTCAAGGCTAGTCAGACCTACTGACATCCCCTGCTTCCTTCTCAACTCCGCACAGCCTCGTCCTCTGAGGAATTAGATGCCCCCTCATCACTCAACTTGAAGCATCATTCGTTGCCCTGTAGGATTCAGGGATGGCTTCACCCGCTGCTCAGATGGCATTTCCTGTCTCTCTCTGGCCTAAGTGCAGTGAGTTAACAGTTCTCAGACTCAGCGGTCTGGCTCTCCAGAGGAAACCTTACCGTTCCCCCTGTCTTCCGCCTCCCACCCTCTCCCACCCTGACTGGATCCCATGTCACTGCAGGGATCCATCCATAGCTTCCTTCTCCATATCACTTGCTGTCTCTTGAACTGCGACCCTCACAATCACCCATCAGTGTGTATGTCGATACTTATTTATAATGTTCATTGTTCAAACAACATTAAAGTCACCTGGCGAAGGGTGGGGAAACAGTAAAAAACAAATGACAAAGGACTATTCTGGCAAATACTCAGTTGTCAGAGGCAGGTATCCAATAAATCCACTGTACATCCCACCAAGCCAAACTAATATCCAAGTATGTGATCCAAACTTCTTCAGGAAAGAGAGAAACCCAAAAGTACAAGAGCTGAAAATCCAATTTCAAATTCACATCCGTTGAAATCCAGGAATATGTTGCCTCTGACTCAAATTCAGGAGACCAGATTTGCCCGTGTTCCTTTTTAAACTGGCTACACCTACTTCACTTTGTGCCTCATTAGTTGTATTATTTACAAAATTTTAGCACCATCATAATGAAAGGAACACAAACAAAAAAATCCCCCAAACTTGCAAATAATCCCCCAAATAATCTGAATTTTGCAAGGAAAAAAGCCCAGAAGCAGAAGCCACTTTGCCAACAGATGGAAACCGGGATTTCAATTCAGAAGGATCACACCATGTCTGGGATTCAATTGCATTCTTCTTCCAGGTCTGTGACACTTTCCTCTCCAGCCCTCACGAGTCTGATTTAGGATCAAAGAAATCAAAGTGCATGGAGAGCCGACACTTTGGGAGGTGGAAGGGTGGAATGTGGGGAGGATAAACAATCAGTGAGCTAATGGAGGGTAGGGGGTGGGGGATCAACATGGTGACGGAGGGAATTTCTCTGACTCATCCCATCACCCTCCAGTAACCCACAGGCTGAGTCAATGCATTTTTCTGTCCCGGCTCCAGCTATTTTAGCATCTATTCAATTCTGCTTCATAAAATACAAAAGGTAGAAATATAAATGTTCCTCAGTACAAGCCAGAGCAAGGTGAGACTTGCTTGGAATGACAAAATCTGTCCCAACAAGAGGGAACTTGGTGCCTGTAACCACCACGTCTCTAAAGGAGGTGCTGCTATAAATGAGATCATAGAATCATAGAAGATCAGGGTTGGAAGAGACCTCAGGAGGTCATCTAGTCCAACCCCCTGCTCAAAGCAGGACCAACACCAACTAAAATCATCCCAGCCAGGGCTTTGTCAAGCCAGGCCTTTAAAACCTCTAAGGATGGAGATTCCACCACCTCCCTAGGTAACCCATTCCAGTGCTTCACCACCCTCCTAGTGAACTAGTGTTTTCTAATATCCAACCTACACCTCCCCCACTGAAACTTAAGACCATTGCTCCTTATTCTGTCATCTGCCACCACTGAGAACAGCTGAGCTCCATCCTCTTTGGAACCCCTCTTCAGGTAGTTGAAGGCTGCTATCAAATCCCCCCTTACTCTTCTCTTCTGCAGACTAAATAAGCCCAGTTCCCTCAGCCTCTCCTCATACGTCACGTGCCCCAGCCCCCTAACCATTTTCATTGCCCTCCACTGGACACTCTCCAATTTGTCCACATTTATTTCTGTATTGGGGGTCCAAAACTGGATGCAATGCTCCAGATGTGGCCTCACCAGTGCCGAATAGAGGGGAATAATCACTTCCCTCGATCTGCTGGCAACTCTCCTACTAATGCAGCCCAATATGCCAGTAGCCTTCTTGGCAACAAGGGCACACTGCTGACTCATATCCAGCTTCTCCTCCACTGTAGTCCTCAGATGCTCAGAGTCGGTCAGGAACACTGGCTGACGTCTGACCCAGATCAGAGGGAAACATGCTAGCTAACCCCAGCTGAACCCAGACCATATTTCCTAGCCTCAGAGGCTGATGCTGCCAGGGTTGAGGTGTGATTCCTATGCCTCTAGCCTTCTCTAGGCCTCTTTCAAGGGCTGTATGGAAATCAGTCCCTGTCAATGACTGAACGTGGAGGGGGCAGATCAAAGGGGCAGAAGGGGTGAACAACAGGGAGCAGAATCTCTCTAAGCCCAAACCTCCCCTCCCCTCTTATTCCATTATCCCCAAATACTAGCTAGTGCCAGCCGAGAACCCCATCTGGTTCCCATCTACACAAGCACCAAACCTTCAGTCTCCCAGTTTCTGGGTCCCCTAATATTTCATTCCCCAGAACCCAAAGCCCTGGGGGACTGGTAGAGGGGAGTGGACACATTGTCAGCTGTCAGGGACACGTCCCTTGCAGGGAACAGCTCCAGGTAGTGGAGTGGGAATGGGTGGCAAGGGATGGATCACTTGATGAGTACCCGTGCTGTTCATTCCCTCGGGGGCACCTGGCATTGGCCACTGTCGGAAGACAGGATACTGGGCTGGATGGATCTTTGGTCTGACCCAGTCTGGCTGTTCTTATATAGGCAAGTGGGGGAGCCCAGCCCAGGGGCTGGTGGAAGATGGGGGGGTGGGGACAGGTGTGTAGAGTGAAGTGGCCCAAGTGTCCTTCTCCTCATCTCCATGGCAGGGGGATCCCGTCTGGGAAGAGAAGGGAGAGGGGGGAACTTCAGCCAGGCAGGGGGAGTGTCTGGAGGAGTTTCTCTCTCTCCCTTCCCCCACCTGTGGCCCATCAGCTCAGCAGCCAGGGCTGCAGCAGGGAGGAGGGGCTGATGGGGGCTTCTCCTCCTCTGCCTGAGGTTTGCTTAGACCTGGCAGAGCCAGAAGGTCACCGATCAGCTCAGGTTTGGCCGCTGCTGTGTCCTCACCCCAGCGATGGGCAGCTGGATGCTTGGGAGCCAAATGCCACAGACACATGTGGGAATTAGGACACTGGTTTGGCACTGGTAGAATCCCCACTGTGTGGAATCTCTGAAGTCTGATATCAGTTAAAGTCTATGCTACAAAGTTTGCTGGCATAGCTATGAACATAAGAACATACTGGGTCAGACCAAAGGTCCATCTAGCCCAGTATCCTGTCTTCCGATAGTGGCCAGTGCCAGGTGCCCCAGAGGGAATGAACGGAACAGGTAATCGTCAAGTGATCTATCCCCTGTCGCCCATTCCCAGCTTCTGGCAAACAGAGGCTAGGGACAGCATCTCTGCCCATCCTGGCTAATAGCCACTGATGGACCTATGTTGGCGAGGAGTGTGAAAAAAATCATACACCCCCTAGACAACATAGCTATCCCGGAAAAAAATCCCAGTGTAGACGCAGCTAGTGCTTCTGTGCGCTTAGCAAATGTCCTTCCAGGAGGTAGTTTAGCCATTTCAGCAGATCGCCTTCTGTTGTCTTAAGCTGTGTCTCCACTAAGAGACTTTGCCAGCAGAGATATACCCAGCCAAGGCTCTGCAGTGTAGACAAGCCCTTTAACTCTGTTTGAAGGATTTTCCACGCTAAGGACATTTAAGAGGCATCTTCCCTGTATGGATTTGCCGATGGCTGGCACAGTCAGATAGTTATAGCTGCTCTAGACAGCAAGTGTGAAAAATCGGGACAAAGGTGGGGGGTTAATAGGCGCCTATAAAATTGGGACATCTGGTCACCCTAAGCTGCTCCCACATTCAAGGTTTCTGGGCCATGTGAAGTCTCTGATGCGTAGTAAGGTTTGAGCTCTGATTGAAACGTTTCCCACAGTCGAGGCATTTATAGGGTTTTTCTCCAGTGTGGGTTCTTCTGTGCCTAATAAGGGTTGAGTTCTGATGGAAGCTTTTCCCACAGTCAAGGCATTTATAGGGTCTCTCCCCCGTGTGGATTCTCCGGTGCGAAATAAGGGTGGAGCTGTCGCTGAAACTTTTCCCACAGTCCAAGCATTTGTACGGTTTCTCTCCCGTATGGAATATCTGATGTTTAATAAGCTGTGAGCTCCAGTCAAAACTTTCCCCGCAGTCTAAGCATTTATAGGGTCTCTCTCTCGTGTGGATTCTCTGATGCGAAATGAGGTTTGAGCGGCAAATGAAACTTTTCCCACAGTCCATGCATGTGTAGGGCCTCTCTCCCGTGTGCAGTCTCTGGTGAGTAATAAGATCTGAGCTCTGATTGAAGTTTTCCCCACAGTCGGGGCATTTGTAGGGTCGATCTCCCGTGTGGAGTCTTTGATGCGTAATAAGGTTGGAGCTCTGATTGAAGCTTTTCCCGCACTCAATACACTTATAGGGTCTCTCTCCAGTGTGGATTCTCCGATGAGAAATAAGATTAGAAGTTTGACTGAAGCTCTTCCCACACTCCGTGCATTTATAGGGTTTCTCTCCCGTGTGGGTTCTCCGATGAGAAATCAGGTTTGAGCTCCGATTGAAGGTTTTCCCGCACTCAGTGCATGTGTTTTTTCTCTCTTCTGCGTGGATTCTCTTCTGGGCTGAGGTTTCCTTGAGGCTTTTACAGCCTTCCTCACAATTAAGGGTCTTACCCACTCTTTTCCTCGGTTGGTTGCCCAGCCGCTTCTTTGACTTGTGCTGTTTCCCCCAGATTTTTCCCTGCTCGCAACTCTGGGGAAAATTCCCCTTGGATCTTTCCGACAAGGTCCCCTGAGATGCCACTTGCTCAGGACCTTCCCGCTGTAGATTCTCCTCCTTTTTGTCATTCTCCATCCCATCACCTGCTGGAATAAAGAGAAAGAATTCAGACATGAATCATTCCCCATGCTTGGGTGAAAGAAAAGAACAAGGAAGGGTGAAGAGGGGAAACACAACACAATAAGTGTTGGGGAAAATTGAGAAAGGTATAATTTACTGAACCATCTGTAATTGTTCCTTCTCTGAAGTGGGCGCCAGGAGCGCCGTGATCCATTACAACTGGGTTACATCTCCACATCATCCAAGCATAGAGGGGATGATGTGTGTGAAAGACAGAGAGAAAGTAGTAGTAGAAGAAGAAGAGCCACCACTCTTGAAAGATGAAGAAGAATAACCCTGTTGTGGTCGATCACAGAGTAGGGGGGTGAGGTCCTACATCTATCAGCCAGGGTGGGTGGGTGGGAAGCCATACGTGACATCCACCATGATGATACAACTGATTAGGTCACACTGATGACTGCCTAGGAAGGAATACTATGGAAAGGGATCTGGGGGTCAGAGGATCACAAGCTAAATATGAGTTAACAGTGTAACCCTGTTGCAAAAACACAAACATCGTTCTGGGATGTATTAGCAGGTGTGCTGTAAGCAAGACACGAGAAGTCATTCTTCCGCTCTACTCCATGCTGATACAGCCTCAACTGGAGTACTGTGTCCAGTTCTGGGTACCACATTTCAGGAAAGATGTGGACAAATTGGTGAAAGTCCAGAGAAAAGCAACAAAAATGATGAAAGGTCTAGAAAACATGACCTATGAGGGAAGATTGAAAAAAAATGGGTTTGTTTAGTCTGGAGAAGAGCAGACTGAGAGGGGACATGCTACCAGTTTTCAAGTGCATAAAAGGTTGTTACAAGGAGGAGGGAGAAACATTGTTCTCCTTAAACTCTGAGGATAGGACGAGGAGCAATGGGCTTAAATTGCAACAAGGGCGGTTTAGGTTGGACATTAGGGAAAACTTCCTGTCAGGGTGGTTAAGCACTGGAATAAAATTGCCTAGGGAGGTTGTGGAATCTCCATCATGGGAGATTTTTAAGAGCAGGTTGGACAAACCCCTGCCAGGGATGGTCCAGAAAATACTTAGTCCTGCCTTGAGCGCAGGTCCCTTCCCGTCCTATGACCCCTCCTGGCCACAGCCCTGACGTGGGTGAGATGAGGCAGAACTGGGAGGGTTCATTCACAACATGTTTGTGGGAGTCTCCGCTTTTTGCCTCACACTCTGATGCCTTCTCTGTCAGTTTGATTGACTCCCCAGCTGTTCAGGCACCTCCCGTAATTCCCCCCCCTTTCCTCAAAGCCCTGGAGATCCGGGACCCACGGCTCTTTCCCTTGTTCCAGCCTGGTGATCAGGCCAGGTTGGGGGAAGGGGAATCCTGCTCGGGGCGGCGGATGAAATCAGACCAGATCAAGGCATGTCAGGCATTGGGAGAGTGTTTGTCACAAAGAAGATTCCTTGATCTCAACCTGGCCCCGCGCTGGGCTCGGGGGACATGGAATCTGAACGGATGGGACCATGGTTAGGAGCAGCGCAAGGTTCCTAAAAGTGGGGGGCACCAATGCCTGACCCATGGCCCCACCCCCGAGCTGTTCCTTCCCCCTGAGGCCCCGTCCCTTCCCCTGAGACCCTGCCCCACCCCACCCCTTCTCTCCAAGCCCTCCCCTCGCACCACCCATTCCCCCGAGCCCCTGCCCTCGCATTGCCTGCTTCTGCCTGAGCCCCCACGCTGCCTCTTCCCCCAAGACCCCACCTCCTGCTTCCTCCTCTTCACCCCCTCCCTCCCATCGCTTGCCCTTATGGCCGGTAAAAAGAGGGAGGGCATAGCCCCCTGGCCACCTCTGTTCTGGCACCCCTGATCGTGGTCACTGAGCCCCCTTGGGATGGGAAAGGGGGAGATGTGTCTTTGACAGATTTGGAGCCGCTCTGTAGTAAATTATGAATATTATATGTTCTCTTTTTCTGACGGATGTAAGGGTGGTGGCTGCAAGACTACAAGGGGTTAATTCAAGAAAGGCTTGGCTGGAGGTACACAGGAAGACAGTGACTTCAGATAACCACCCTTTGCACTCAAGATACACTTGTGCTGGAGGCTAACGAGTGATCACTTAGGCACCCATAGGTGCTGACTTTTGGTTTTCCCAGGGCATGCCCCGCCTTGAAGCCCCGCGCCTACTCTGCCCCCCTCCCTGAGGCCCCACCCTCACTCTGCCCCTCCCCTGACACCCTCCCCTCGCTCGCCTCGGGCCTATTTCTAAACCCCAAGAGCCCAGAGCCCTGCCCAGGGATGGAGCTAATCCTGGGAAGGGAGGAGAAGTGGGATTCTGTGTGTGAATGAGAATTGAGACAGGCAGGTCAGGACCGTCCTTCTGACACCTTGAGGTCTGGAGGGGACGGGGATAATGAGCATCATAATGGGTTTCGGACTCCTCCATCCTGTGGGAAGGGGTGTGGAGATCTGAGTCTCTCACCCTGGATCTGAGGATTATCAGGCCCATGCCCCTGAAATTGAAGTGACCAGGGCAGACCCTGAGAAGAAGCTGAAATGGCCACATCCCAACTCCCTCAGCTTCCAATAACTGAGGTGACAAGAACCCCTTACCCGGCAAGGTCACCGTCTCGTAGTTCTCCTGCATGACGTCCCTGTAGAGGGCTCTCTGAGCGGGGTCCAGCAGAGCCCCCTGCCCCTGGGTGAAATAAATAGCCACCTCCTCAAAGGTCACCGGCCCCTGAAACAGCAAGAGACCCCCACTCAGCACCTGCTGCCCCAGCCACAATCCCATTAGTCACAGGGGTGGGGGACCAATAAAACGGAAGCTCTGGGGGGCAGAGGTGAAAGTAAGCCGGTATGCCACGGTACGGTGTACCGGCAAGAGCCGGTGCACCGTACTGGGGCAGCCCGGCTTCCCCAGGGGGCAATTTAAAGGGCCTGGGGCTCCGGCTGCTATTTAAAGGGTCTGGGGCTCCCCTGCTTCTACCGCCTGGGCCCTTTAAACAGCCCCTGGAGCCCCGTCGCCACTACTCCAGGGCTCCGGCGGCTATTTAAAGGACTGCGGCGGTAGAAGCAGGGGAGCTGCGGGCCCTTTAAATATCCCCCAGAGCCCTGGGGCAGCAAAGGCTCCAGGGGCTATTTAAAGGGCCGTGGCTCCAGCTGCCTCTGCCGCCCCAGTCCTTGAAATAGCCGCTGGAGCCCCGCCGCTTCCCCAGGGCTATTTAAAGGGCTATTTAATAGGGCGGCTATTTAAAGGGCTAGGGCAGTAGAAGAGGGGAGCCCCGGGCCCTTTAAATAGCCCCCGGAGCCCCAGGCTGCTGCTGCTACCCCAGTGGGGGGGGGCACTTACCTTACAGGGTGGGCTTACAGCTCTGACCCCCTCAACCCCGCCCCTTCCGCCCTAGGCCCCGCTCCTTCCGGGGGCCAGAGCTGGCCCCAGAGTACCGGTAAGTCACTCGACTTACTTTCACCTCTGCTGGGGGGTCACAGAGGAGCAGAATCCCACCCCCACCCTGCTCAGAGCAGCCAGGAGGTTTCAGGGTGGGGAGAAAGAGAGAGCTCCTTGTCCCTCCCAGCTGATGGCGGAGGGCAGGGGCCCTCCCGTTTATCACACCCCTGCTAGCCACAGGCTGATACAGGAAGTGGAGCCTGCAGAGAACTGGAAATACCATTCATATCATATTTCCTCTCAGACATGAGCATCTCCACTTCCTCTTATTTATCACCTCGGCTCCTCGCATTAGACTATAGAAAATATTTTTTTTAAAAGTGTTACTTATATGACTCTTTGCACTTGGATTTGTCGTACCTGTGATGACTTGAGGCTGGTTTACAAGCTTGGGTATTGGTACCATGATTGCCCTGTTATCCCCCTCCCCCCTAACTGGTTAGTTTAAAACCCTCCCAGTTGTCCTAGCAACTCACCTGTCACCCGGGAGTTCGGAGATCCTACCACTGAAAGAGAGGCTGTCAGAACCATACGGCCTCCTCTCTCCATAGCCCGCGCTGTGACAGCTAGTGAGGATGCATGGGCGTGAGTTGGTATCATATAGCCGCTATATAAATCCATGGTACGCCCACGTCTTGAATACTGCGGGCAGATGTGGTCGCCCCATCTCAAAAAAGATATATTGGAACTGGAAAAGTTTCAGAAAAGGGCAACAATACCGATCAGGGGTATGGAACAGCTTCCGTATGAGGAGAGATAAATAGGACTGGGACTTCTCAGCTTGGAAAAGAGACAACTAAGGGGCAATATGATAGAGGTCTATAAAATCATGACAGGTGTGGAGAAAGTAAATAAGGAAGCTTTATTTACTCCTTCACATAACACAAGAATGAGGGGTCACCCAATGAAATGATAGGCAGCAGGTTTAAAACAAACAAAAGGAAGTATTTCTTCACACAACGCACGGGTCAACCCATGGAACTCCTTGCCAGAGGATATTGTGAAGGCCAAGACTATAACAGGGTTCAAAAAAGAACTAGATAAGTTCATGGAGGTTAGGTCCATCAATGGCTATTAGCCAGAAGCTGAGAATGGGAGACAGGGCATGGATCACTTGATGATTACCTTTTCTGTTCATTCCCGTAGGGCACCTGGCATTGGCCATTGTCGGAAGACAGGATCCTGGGCTAGATAGATCATTGGTCTGACCCAGTATGGCCATTCTTATGTTCCCCCTCTCCCCTTGCATTGTTACCACCTGGGGATGGGGAAGGGATTCGCATCCTTCTTGAAATAGGACACACAATGCAGTG